CAATCTTCATCTTCTAAGTAGCTATTTTTCAAAGTTGGACGAGACTGCAATAAGCGTTAGTAATGGTACAGATTTTATTGAGCCTTTCCAGCATTAAGTAGATGGATTTCCAATTTGTTTCTACATCGATCAAAGGATAGAGAAATGGGTAATTTAAAATAGCGGAAATCCTCTTCATTTCCTCCAAGACCGAATGTGAGTTTATTATATTACAAAAATGTCGTACTTTTTGAATTAGACAGAGATATTTTTCTAGACCTGCTTTAACTATAAGGTTAATAATGTGCACTGCACAATATCCATATTCAAGGTTAGGACTTATATGTTTTTAGAGAAAATGTAGACATGTCGGATTATTTTCAATATCATCGCTAGTGAAGCCAATTAATCGTTCTTTTATGCCCATATCTTTAATTAGCTCAAGAACCTTCTCTCTGAGATGTTCTCCGGTGTAGGTATTGGGCAGGGACATGATGTCAAGAAGAAGGGTTTTCATTTTCTATTTAGCATCAACCCAATAGGCCGTAATTCCGAGAAAAGGTTGTTGATTACATATTCTCCAAGTGTATAGGGTAAGAGCTAATTTACTTTGATTGGATTTTAAGATATTTTTAATTTTTACTCTCGCCAGGTCAAATTGATTTCTTACATGAATAGAGAGTGTTTCATATTGAGGTATTTTGTAGTATGGGTCAAGATTGTTAACAAATTTTACAAGTGAGTTCTCTTTAACTATTGAAAATAGTTGTTGACTAGTAACAATCCACTTTAACAAATCATGATTTAAAGACTCAGTGTGACGTTCAATAATTGAATAAAAAGAAGGTTGAATAGTTTGCAAAAAGTCATTATAGGTGGGTGGATATTTGACTTGCTTTAATGTTTTAGAATCATCACTAAGCTTATCAGGGCATTCTTGGGTTACAGAGAGCTTTCTCTTTTTTGATCGTTGCTCTTTAGAGCAATTAGGGTTGACCAATTTTTCAATTTGTTGAAGAGAACACTGGGCATCTTCGTAAGAAGACTCATCAGAGAAATCAATAATAAGATAGGGTGTTTTAGATATAGTAATTGAAGATTCAGAATTTGTTATTGAGATAGACGAATTAATGAATAGAAAGAGAATGATAAGTAACTTTATATACTGTAATTTTTCTTTATTTTTAAAACAAGCAATCAATGAATCTCGACATTACAAG